GTGCGTGTCCCTCCTCCTTGTCTCGCAGGGTCTTTTGATGTCCCACGGTGTTTGTGAGGGTGGGTCTGGCGGCTCTGTGGTAACTTGCCAGAGCTTTTGCTGTTTGAGCCTCCTGGCGAGTACGGTGCTTGATGCCCCTTCTCTCTTCCTTTCTCTGCCCTAGCTGCACTCCGGGAGAGTTGACACTCACCAGGGTAAGGGAGCAACCTCGCCTTGAAAATCCTACTTACTTCCATTCCGCCTTTCTTAAGTGACTTCTAGAACCCAAACTCCAGGCCGCACTTTTCCTCCTTTGAAAGATGTCTTTTAAAGGTGCTTTTCCCATTTCTATTTAAGGATTTCTGTCCTTTGCTTGAAGTCTGTCATCTGCCAGTAGGATGGTTCACTTCTGTATCAAGCCTTGTATGTCACTTGTTTGATTCACAACTATACTTCTGCTGTCTGATCTCTCAACAGATGCACGTGACTCCCAGCTCTTGACTACACAAGACCTTTCATCTTGCTCTGAAGACTGAGACCTCCTTATGAAAAGTCCCTTTCCCACTCTCTTCCACCTCCTGCTCTGGCAACACATATAGGCATGTTATCTCAGTTACATTTTTACAAAACCGTTATCACTGTCCTTAACTCCTATCTTTACTTTTGTCACAAAGGACTAACATTGTTCCTGATGGTTGTAACACCTTTTATTTTTTACTTTCTCCGATGGTACAACCAGCAACTTTTGAAATCCAGCTAGATTTTGTCATTAGTTAGGACTTAGTAAAGTCCTTAGCATGTATCTTGATTACTTCTTGGAAGAGAAAAGAATTTGAATACACCTGAATTACTTCTGAACACTTTTCTGAGAAAAATATTTATGCTGTTATTGGCAAGATGACTGTTTGCATTGTGAGCAATTGTACATTTTAAAGTTTGACACTGATAGCACTATTTTGTGATATAGAATGCTAATGTCAAGAACTTATTTTTCTGATAGCTAGAAATGTGTTTTCTAACTCTAATATGATTAGAATTTTGTGCTAATAAGCTGGCACTTACAAAATCAGTAAATTTTCTTTCTTTGTTATTGTTTGTCTTTTAGGGCTTCAAATTATTTCTGGTTTTAATGATTTGCATTTTATGAACACAATAGTTCCTGTGTCATTTAAGTTTTTGTGTGTTCTGAAAAGACTTTTGTCTAATTGTAGTATGTTAGTGCTTCTTTTAAAAAGACTGTCACTGGAGACAGGCATATTCTGAAAATGGTAGGAAAGAGAAACAAAGATGTACAGTGGGTGAACTGATTTGAGTCACTAGTTCTGATGAAATCATCAGTAAAGAAGTATTGATTTAAACTTTCAATTTTAGTTTTGCTTTGTATTTGTATTTTAGCTAATTTGGTAATCATTACTATATGTTGTTTCTCAACATGCAGTAAAACTTAGGTGCCACATTTAATTCTTTCTACAAGTCTAAAGGACATAGCATATCTACACAAGTGCTGGGGTCTTATTTCTGCTTCTAGTAAGAAGTCATAATCCTAAAGATTTAGTATTTAGATAATAACAAAAGTACCTGACTGGAAGTTCTGTCTGGAGGGAAGAATTAGAAGAACCAAGCTAAACAACAAGGACTGCATGTACAAGATTCTGCCAGAGATTAGGGCAGGTGGCTTATAGAGCTTCGGGAGTGGAAGTAGTGTGGAAAAAAATAAAGTCTGCCTCTCTCGTTCATCCTGACCCCAGTATTTGGAATTTAATGAAGTCGTTGACAAAAACAGATGTCATCAACTTGTGAAAGGTGATGGCTGGATGGCAAGCACCCTACTCATCCTTGAGGCAATGTTTGTTTATGTGTATTGTTTAACTGGCTTCCTATTGTTTTCATTTCTATATAGTGTCATTTCTTGTTTACTAAAGGAATGTAATTTCTTATTTACTAAATTGTTTTCTCTATCTGGAGTACATGACAGAATAAATTACTGAACATTAATAATATTCAAAACTAGGATTTTCACACCTTATAATTTATTAACTTTTGGAAACCTGTCTTTTCCCAGGAATAATTTATATTATCCATCATAGTGTCAGGTTTGGTATGTTAAATAGGCAGTAGACTATTATTTTTATTAAGGACATTTTAACGCTATTACGTACATATATAATAACACATGTAACTGCTGCATTAACTTTTAGAAGATATGTGTACCTAGATCAGTATTTAAGGATGCATACAGAAAGTTATTTTTGCAATCTTTTTAACAAAATACTTTCATTCTTCCTACTGGAATTGGAATTCATTTTCTGTGTTCTTTCTTTCATACTTTACATTTCTTTTCTCTTCTTTTATTGATTCTGCTTTGGGTTTTGTGTCCTGAATCTACTTGCTCTTGTGTTCATTCCTTCATCCTGTCCATTCCTCAAATTGTTACTGTCTTCTGCTGTAACTGTACCCAACCAGCCTATTTCACTCTGGGCTGTTCTGCTGAGCACTGTATTGCTGCTGGAATTTCTGTAGGCTACCCTAAAGGCAGACTGTAGCTAATTTCAATTTTGCTGCAGCTCTTAAAGTGCAGAAGTAAAGGGGAGCAACGCAGGATTAGGAGATGTGTGCATTTGAAAGATGGAGTGACAAGACTGTCAAAATTATCCTATGCAATCCTTGGGATATATAAGAATAAGCATTTCTTTTCTAGTACACTTATTCAGAATTTCTTGATTGATTGTTCGTGTCAGTCTTTGGACCCTGGGTTTCTAACCCTTGATATTCTGTCACATAGGAATGAAAACTATTTTGTGTTTTTAATCTTTTTCTATTCTAGGGATTAATGTTCTAAGAATGTCATCAGGCATCCAAATAAAACCAAAGACTGCAGTACAGAAAAGCAAGACATCTTCTCCTTTGCCACATTCTCCAGAACCTGCAATTAAACCACAGCCAAAGCCTAGTGACAAGCTGAATCCTAAAACTATTGATCCGGTATGTATAGGTGGTGTGTGTGCTGGTTTTGGCCTGGATAGAGTTAATTTTATTCATAGTAGCTAGTATGGGGCTATGTTCTGGATTTGTGCTGGAAACAGTGTTGATAATACAGGGATATTTTCGTTATTGCTGAGCAGTGCTTACACAGGGCCAAAGCCTTTTCTGCTCCTCACCCCACCCCACCAGCGAGCAGGCTGGGGGTGCACAAGGAGTTGGGAGGTGACACAGCTGGGACAGCTGACCCCAACTGACCAAAGGGATAGTCCACACCATATGACATCATGCTCAGTATATAAAGCTGGGGGAAGGAAAAGGAAGTGGCGGGGGCATTTGGCGTTATGTCTTCCTAAGTAGCCATTACACGTGCTGGAGCCCTACTTTCCTGGAGATGGCTGAACACCTGCCTGCTGATGGGTAGCAGTGAATGAATTCCCTGTTTTGCTTTGCTTGCGTGCGCATCTTTTGCTTTACCTATTAAACTGTCTTTATCTCATCCCATGAGTTCTCTCACTTTTACTATTCTGATTGTCTCCCCATCCCACCATGGGGGAGTAAGTGAGCAGCTGTGTGGGGCTTAGTTGCCAGCTGGGGTTAAACCATGACAGTGGGTTTTCTGTTTGTTTGTTTAAAACAGATCTCTTGTTGGAAGAAATTTCCTTACTTTATGAAATGCATGCAGAACATGCTTCTTCTTGTCCTGTTTTGTAAATTTAAACTAAACTTTTGTTATTAATCATACGTTCCCTAATTTCTAAGCTCAAATGCCGGAGGTGTAACATGTTTGTTTCTTTAAAAAAAGGGGTTTGGTACAGTTGTGGCTTAGATGGTAACTTTTTTGTTTTCCATATACTTTTGCCCTGAAAAGAGATTTAGAGGTAAGAGTTAAAAAGGGTTGGGGCTTTTTTGGTATAGTTATAAATTTTGGTACTTGCTCCTTTAGAGGAACTAATCTCAGTTATGCAATGAAACCAAGAATCAGGTAGCATCTTGAAGATAGCTAGACCTCATAAAATCTAGCAACTTAATTGCTAGTGAGTATTACTTGAAACTCCCAAGTACTGTGAATATGTAATACTTTGGGAAGAATTTGGGCTCTCGGAAGACTGATGAAAGGAGTTTTTATTTCACAGAAGTCCTGCGCCTAGAGAACCAGCTTTGAGGGGGTGAATTATAGCTCACCACCGGGCCGTTATCAGCCAAACAATTAGTAATGTCACAGACTTTTTGGAAAAGAAACTAAATGTGGGAATACTTTGTTGAGGTAGTAGTTTGCCATAAACAGAGGCTAAATACTTTCATGTGGGCATTTTTTTTCTTGAAACCTTTTTGCAAGTAGTACAATGACTTAATTAAGCCAAGAAGTTGTGAAAACATGCATGCAATTTTAACAATGTTTATACACGTTCAAACACTTGAAAGATAAAAATTAAGATTTCATGGTACTTCCTGCTATGTGCTTTGTGATAAGATGTTTAATCTGGAAAGTAGCATTGAATGATCATGCTAATAAATAATATCATAGTTCATATGCATAAGAAGCATGTATATGATAAAAAAAACTTTGTGTGGGCTTTCCTCCCGTGAAGCTCCTGGTTTCCTTCTACAGTGAGTCCTTCCTAGATTCTCACCCAGTGGGAACCTCCCCGCTGATTTCCAGTGCCCTCATACCATCTTGCCCAACATTTGGTGTTTCTCCCACATCTTGCCACCTTGTACTTTTGTCTATACTTGGATCAAGGTGGAATTGGAGGAAATCTGCCTTCTGCATGTTACCAGTATAACAACAGTAAGAGCATCAGGGAAGTGAGACGTCCTTAATCTGTTAAGGAGAGAACCCGTAAGACTTCAGTGTTAAGATTTGCAAGAGAAAATAGAAAAATAAGGGTATTTCATCAGGAGAGCACTGATTCTATGTTATTTACTAATTTTTACAACTTCCTAGCCAGACAATTCTGAAAAGCAGTTTTCTGATAAACATACCAAATGTATGTTTTCCACCTCATAGCTGTAGTTCTTTTTTTTGTTAGTTTTAGAAATATATGACTAAGTTCCTTTTTTGGTAAACTGCAGTTTTAACACATCCAAAATAGTTATCAAACATTGCTGTTATGAATAAATAATGCTTTTTTTTTTTTTTTTTTTGTCCTCACAGTTTGGTGCTCATTCTCGACCACCTTCTGCATTTGCTGCTATATATGCTAAAGGTGGCATTCCATGCAGGTGTGTTGGTTTTATTTATTTTTTTACTATATATATTATGGTTAGGTAGAATTACACAGATTGAAATACATCTATTCATGTTTGATCTTTTAGTTAGGCTGTTTGATTCCATTCATTTCTGCAAAGATTTCTGATACTTAACTCTTTTCAAAGCACAGAGCGATTTTCTATGTCTTTGAAATCGTCTTGTTTCTTTTTTTATGCTGTGTTAATACTGAAGCTGCATTTTTAAAGAATAGCTAGGTATTTGCAGATTTGGTTTGCTAAACCTCTTTCATGAGAGAAGCTGATTTCTTCATGCGATGGTGTTTACTTCTCCCTACTAAGGAAGATAATAAAATTAGTGCCATTTTAGTAAGTAGACATCTTACAGTCTTTTTTTGTCTGAAGTAAGTAGTGTGACAACATTTTCTTGAATATTCCAATTCTGTAGTTGTCAGCAATATCAGATAGTAACAAAACTACTTGTAAGTAATAGTTTGTGGTATTTTAAGTTACTTTTGTCTATTATATATTTGCCTAGACAATAAACACTTTAGTGTTTTGTCAAGTGGATGCAGAATTACTTAAAAAAAAATAAGTAATCATTATTACATGTATATACATGTATAGAGTAATCAGTAATACATAGCCTTTATCTGTATCTTAGGAGTAACTGATGAATTCCAATATGATTTTCTTTCAACTGATTTCCCTTACTAATTGTTATTTGAGGAAAATATTTCTTGATATTTATCAAAATAAGTAACTTTGCAAAGGGAGCATCTTCTGTGTTTGTATGAGAGGCATCTATAATTTTTATCTTTTTTTTTTTCTGATTTCTATGTGATTTGGAGCAGAATTTTGAAAATTGTTGTATTTGGGAATTATAATAATTGCACTGCTAAATACCACTATACATTTCACTAAGGAGAGCAGTATGTATTGAATTTGTGTATATTACATTACAGTAATATTGCAAACCAATTGGTGATATATTTAAAGTGAATAGTGTTAGCAATAAATTATATATTATTATATGTTAATTTGTTAAAACTTTATTCTTTATGTAGGTTAGTGCATGGCTCAGTAAAGCACAGACTGCAATGGGAATGCCCTCCTGAAACTGTTCCCTTTGATCCTCTTCTTGTAACACTGGCAGAGGTAAACTCAATTTTCTTGCAAAGTTAAGCATACAGGATTTCCTAATTGTAAATGGCATTTTGTAACAAGCTAAGCCAGCTAACTTAGACTCACCTACTAGGGAAATATGAAAAAAACATTTGTGCAGATCTTGTATGAATGAAGATGGTCAAGAACATTGCCATTTGTAGTTCTTTAGTTAGAGCATTCTGGGAGAGCTAGGTAGAGCTATTTAATCTTTGAGATACTGGTCAAATACAAGACTGCATCTCAGATTCCCAACTGTTGAATGAAATACTTCAATCCATTTGTGGCTTTGCAGGTTCTTTTGTAAATAAAATTGTTTTGATTCTTTTTATACATAAAGCTTACCTATTGAAGTAAGAGTGCTCTCCTCAATAGATTGAACTAATACACAGGAAATAGGATCCTATAAATAAGTGAAAGAGAAATACTATACATTATGTTCAGGCTTCTGTTTTCTCAGCATCATCTGTGACATTTATCTGCAAATATATTTCAGGAGTATAAATAAATGTTGAATCCAGTGTGGTAGATGGAATAACGTGCATACTCTAGAGGTGGCGCTTTAAGATTAAACCAAGTTGTCAATTCCTAAAGTAACTTAAGAGCACCTATTATGGAAAGAAGAAAGGCTTCAGCCTTAGGGCTTTAAATCTTTGGGTTCTGCCAGTCAGGTCTTCACTAGAAGTGCATATTTGTAACATCTACAAGTTTTTGGTGTTGCAGAGGGGTGCGTGTGGTGGGGGGTGTCTTTTCTTCCATAGTTCACATTCTATTTTTTTTTTCCTTCAGGGTACAAAGAGTCATTTCCAAATATAGCCTATTCTTGTTCATGGTCTTGTTGAAAAATTACCTTGGGTGGTTAGATTAGAGGTAATGAAGTACACATATTGATTGAATTGGCAGTAATCATAATGTGAGTTTTAATATTCAGTGTTCCAAAAGAAAAATGAATAAGAATATTCTGTGAACAGAGTTGTACTCAGTGGCTCCACATGGTGGAGTTAGTGTATTTTATGTTTTGAACTGATATAACAAAACCTAAACATTATCTTGCTGCTATGTGGAACTTTTTCATGTGTTGTTTTTTTTTTTTTTAAAGAAGACTCACTATTAAGCAAATCTGTTTTACATTTGCAACAGGGTCTAAGAGAGACAAAACATCCCTATACATTTGTTTCAAAGGAGGGTTTTAAAGAATTACTTATGGTTGAAGGTGCTACTGAAAAAGCAATTCCCTTGTTGCCTCGTCTAGTTCCAGTGTTAAAGGCTTCATTGGTATGTCTTTCTTACTCTTCATGCAGAGATTTTAATGGGTTTGATACTTTTTTTTGTTGTTTTTCTTGTTCTGGTGAGGATTACATGGAAAATATTAGTGTCATAAATCTATTGCATGGGCTTTTGGTTTGGGGGCATGGGAATAGTTTCTTTTTCTTATGTTAACCCTGCCTTGGTTTGATTAGCTAAATATGTCTTTAACTGTAATTTCAGATGGGCAACTCCTTGTATAGCTGTATGACAATAGCTATGGGCAAATTCTGTGGAAATGTTCTATTAAAGATCTGAATATAAGCAGAAATAAATATATGTATTGGTGGTGGTTTTATATATGCACATAGTAACATGCAAAAAAAATTGAGGACATGTGAGAATAAATACTCATCTGTTATATTTAAAAACTTTAAACATGCTACAAAGATAAAACGGAATATGCCAATGAGGAAAAGGGAAGAATGCAATTAAAATGTTTGAGGTCATATTCATAATTTTTAAATGTTTTTAACTTTTCTACTCCTTTAGAAAATAAAGTGAGGTAAAAATATTGGTCTGGAAGGTAATCTCTTTCGGATCTTTTTCATATCTTTCAGAGTCCTTTCCTGGTTCAGCTATTTGCTGTCCTTTAATCTAGCTGTGTTTCAGTTCTGTTTTTATAGAGATGTCTGCAAGTTTGAAAATTCTTTGTGATCTCAGATCAGAGGTGTAATAGAAGATCAGAATTGTGTGTTATCAGTATCTTTGGTTTAGTTTGGAAGACAAAATTATAAAAAAATATTCTTGTCTGTTCTTCCAATTACTGTTATTAATCTGATAATTTTCATTGTTGCACAGTTTTGGTATAAAGTCTTGTTAAACCTTCTGCTACAAAAGCAGTCGATGACTTTTAGTTAAAAAACAAAAACCAAAAAAAAACGTTCGGGGTCCAAATGTCAGAGTGGAAAAGTAACTGTTTAAATAAAGGTCAGTATTAGTACAAGAACAAAACAAATTGTCATGAATCAATTTCTCTGCCAAAGGAAGAGTGAGATCACTAAACCATTAGAGAACTCAGGTATAGAAGAACCTTCCCATGGGAGCAATAAAGATGACAAAGCACCCAAGAAGTAGATAAGGTCCTGATAATTGCTGGCAGGTGACAAAGCTGTAGTTGGCAGGGGACTAAGTTAATCAAGCCAGACAGTATTGGCTCCTGTGTTTCTCCAACAAAGATAATTATTGTTATGAAATACATGGAAATTACCCTGAATTCATTACATTTGTAACTAAAATGTTGTCTCCCAATTTCAACATATCTGCATTTGAAGGATTCTTTCTACTATGCTGTGAAGCACTGAAATTGTTGGTGTAGTAAACTGTTTTGCCAGCCGAATTTTTTATTTCATCAATAATAAATTATCAGTTTTCTTAGAAGAAATGCAAGAGTTTCACTGACATTTTGTGGATACTTTTGTTTTCTACTTTAAAAATATACCTCTGTTTTTAAATGTTACCTCTAGATACTAATATTCAGTCATATTGTACTTGTATCTCTAAACTTGTAACGTTATAACAATTAGTAGTTGCACAGTAGTTTTAATTTTAAAAAATACTATGTACAAACATAATGTAGAGATTGCAGTTTTGAAGAATTTGTGCATTTGTCTGAATATTACTGACAGGATTTTCTTTTTTCCCCCTCTGAAGGCCCATTTGGATGATGAAGTATTTGGAAGGGGATTGGATGCTTTAGTTCAACTGAGTGCTGTTGTTGGCCCATCTCTTAATGATCATCTTAAGCATCTACTCACAAATGTAAGTTTTTAATGCTGTAGTAAAAAGTCATCTGTATTTTTATGGTACACTTGTTGAGATGTTTACTATAATATCCACACAGATACAGTGGAGGACTTAGCAGTTCCATGAAAAGCATTATTTCTATATTCCTCTGTGTAAGACCATCATTCTTTAATAATATGGTGACTTACAAAGCTCTAGCAAGGTCCAAAGAGTGTTGTTAATGTAAATTGGAGAATAATGGAAGTGGTGTCTCTACTATTTAAAAAAGATTCAGCTTCAAGCCTGAGGTGAAGTAGATGCTATATTTTGAAGGGAAGTTTATGTTTATTGCAAAATGAGTTTTCCATTTTAGGTGTGAAACTTTCACAGATTTTTAAAAATATTCAATAAATTAACATAAGCAAATATTCCCACTTCTTTCAGATGGGAATTCTGCACAAGGAAATCTTCATTATATAAACTTAGAGTGGGATTGTGGAAAGTATTTTTATACTGATTCCTTCTGTAGACATCCTTCCTCTGTCAGACAGGTTTTTCACGGTTTTGTTTAGCCTGCTTCCAAAGGGCACTTTTAGAGCCAAATAAAAGGACCTTTTAGACATCCAATGCATATGAGAGAAATTGCTGTAGTTTTTTTTTAAAGTATTTCCACCATAATAAATCTCTTTCAGTGTGCATGAAAAATGTGTTAACTTTTTATGTGGAGAGCACTTTAAGAATGACTTTTTTTTAAGGTTGATACCTCTTTAAAATTTGTTTGCTAAATAAAAAAAAATAAGTATTTTTTGGCTAACAGTTGAGCCTTCTTTGAATTTAAGTTTCTCATCAGTGAGCATTTTATTCCTTTTGCCTTGACTGAGTTCCATATTGTGACATCAGTTACAAGCTATAAAGTGATGTTTCTTTTTGGCTTTAGTTTTCCAAAGACAAGATGAAATAAAGTAATAAAATAGAATTATATTGGCCTCTTTGCATATATTGTACTATGTTGTGCAACAACGCTTTTTATTTTACTTTTCCGATAGCTTTCAAGGAGATTAATGGACAAGAACTTTAGAGAAAAAATTACTGTTGCTTTACAAAAGTTGGAGCAATATGGTGGAAAGGTGAGTTGGCCAGATGACTATTCTGTAATCTGCACATATGAATGCAACTTTGCCAAAACAACTTCCATCTCTGGCTTTCAGATTTACAACCCCATTTTGAAAACTGCTTATTTTTACGTCACAACTATTTCATGTTGCATAAAACACAGGATTTTGCACTGTGGCAATCAACAGAGTTGCGTTTCAGTCCATAGTAAAATAGTTGGTTTAGTCTGTTTGATGTATTGAGTGGTAATAGAAATTACATTAAATCTACTCTGGGTAATCCATATTCTGCCAGTTAGGTTTTGTTGTCTCCCATTTTTTTTTTTCCTCCTACTTTTCATTTGTATTCTCCATTGTTTTAATCTCTGAGCGGGAAATACAGGAGTATGTCTCAGTAAAATATTTCAAGGGATCCATACCTACGTAAGAAGCTGCATGGCTGGACTCTTACAGTGCAGCACACCAAGCCCCATTCAGGAGAACTCATTTTGGGAGCAAGTGTGCATCTGTGTGGATTCCTACCCATGATATTTGCTTGGAACATTTTATTGGCCTTGGTGGAAACCTTATGCAGACTTTTAGCGGTTAAATGAGACGCTGTTCTTTCTTGAAAATTCTTCGTTTCTCTAGAAAGTCCAAATTTTTTGACCAGGATTTGAACTGATGTGACAAGTGGGTGTAGGGTAAGATCCAGGATGCCTAATATAAGTCCTTACTCCACGTTAGGCATTGCAGCACTTAGAAAGTAGATGCTTATACTGAGTAAAGCATGCAAGCTTCTTGTACAGACCATAGGGTATGGTAGATGGCCGCGAAGGGTGATCCAGGGATTCACCAAATGTCAGCTAGTAAATAGCTTCTGGCCCCTTCTGGAGTACTGGCACCTGACTCAGGCTGAATATTTGTCTTGCTTCAGTATGCCTGGGATGCAGGCTTTGTGCCTTTTTCTGAGCCTAAATACTTTTCTCAACAGGATTTACTCTTGCTAAAAGATACTTTTTGCTGTTATTGATGATGCCTGCCCATTCCCACTAACAGCTTAGTGTTTATGTCACTTACTGAGGAAATCAGATACTCACATTCCAGCCCACCATGGTTAACCCAGAGGTTAGATCTGCAATTGCTATAAATCAAAAAAATGCTTTAAGTAATAGATGGCAGAGTATTCTGCTGAACACTCTGTTGCCATTTTCTGTTGTACTGCACATTGTGCAGAAAGGAGGAGAGAAGAAGAAGTGAGAGAGTATTGGCTTGGATATTCATCTAGAAGAGAAAATATTTGCTTTCTTGACCCTAGGAACACGTGTATGTATTTTATTAAATGGTCATTGGTAAAGAATAGGAACAACCTAAAGAGTAGGGACTGTAAATATAGGTCTGCCAGTTCTGAGCTTGTGTGCCTTAAATTGGTAGGCACCCAAATAATCAGTATATGCCATTTCTTTTTTTTTTTTTTTTCCCACTCATATTCATTTAAGGGCAGTAGCAGAGTTCGTATTACAGACTTGAAAACATCACGACAAATAAAGAAGCATGAGAGTTCTATATTTATATGTAGTGAGACAAGAAAACGAAAATTTCGTCTCATCTTGATGTTCTGAAAACTTAGGTCTAGATAATACAAATAATTCAGTGAATCATTAACCTCTAATTCTTCTGTCTGTCCCCTGATTTCTTGTAGTCTTACTTTTGTGAGTAGGTCTGTCTGTGTGTCCTTTAAAAATACTGTAATAAGATAAAGCAAAAAACTGGAAACAAACTCCGAAATTGTGATTACAAGCAATATTATATAATCCAGCTAATGAATTTATCAAATTTCTATCCTAAATGAGTTATAATGTATGTGATTCTTACTTTTAATGGAAGTCCCTTCTAGAATATCACTCCTCTATTTAAAAACCCTTATTATTTCATGTCTATATTTATGCCCAGTTTTAGGTATGAGTTTACACATCTCTTCTCTTGGATGTTTACTCTCCATCATTAATTATCACAATGCTCCATTTTTTCAGTTCATTATTTTCAGCCGTTTTGACAGTAAATTTCTCAGCAAATATTAACTTCTTAGTTTTCTGCTGTTTGATAATAACAAAGATAACTAAATAAAAGTTGTGAATTACGCAATTTATACAGACTATTATTTTGATTGAATTTGGTTTATTTTCATCAACAGGCAACTGTGGCTATCATCAAATCTAAAATTCCAACCTATTGTTCTATCTCTTCTTGATCAAGAAAACTAGTGATTTACTCTAAGTTGAATTTTGGAATGAAACTGCCTGTGAACATCACTGACACCTCATTGGGGTATGACATATTCTCTTAAAATAATCACAATTCTTTAGTATGATGGAGAATGGGAAAAGTCCTATCAGTTTGTGAATATGTAATTGTGGAAGACTATTTAAAATAATTCTGTCTGTATTGGCTGCTATTTGCATGTGCATTGTGATTACAATGACACTGACTAATTTGCTGTTATTTCAAAAGTAGAGTAAATATTGATTCTTATTTTGTTGTAAATTACAGTTTCCTTTAACAGATCTGCAGTGTGTAATATGTTTTGTACATTTGTGTGATACAAAGTAATTTGGTTGTAATTACTTAAATACTAACTAACTTGGTGTTAAATTACATATGTATACCCACTTTTGAAACCTGTAACTTAATTTGTGCCACAGGCACAGATGGATGTAGTTTGGCTTCATCAGGACTTACTGGGTTAGATGTAGAACTATGAGAACTCATCTAGACTTCTTGAGAGTCAGTGTTTAAAGGTATGAAGCTGAATGCACTAAACAGGGAGCATATGGTGCAAAACTGAACTTGCCAAGTGCATTCTCAGCACATTGTTTTAAGAAGCTGGAGAGGCTCTGGAGGATACAGTGCAGGGGCATCAGGTTGCTCCATAGAGCCACAGCCTAGGTTTTGCTCAACTAATTAGTTCCAGTTAGCTTTGGGCCTACTGAATGCAAGCTAGATTTAGGAGGCAACTTTGGAGTATTTACACTGTGCTCCCTTCGCATTGAGTTCTGTAATGGCACAGATATGCTTGGGACTAGCTTGTGAATTCAGCTACAGACAAAGCTAATAAACTTCTGAATGTGGAAGCTATGAAAAATATATCAGTTAAAGAGAATAAAAACATTGCAGAAGTGAGCTTACCTGGCTGTCAAACCTTGTAGGGTGCAGCATTTGTCCATGAATGTATTTGAACTTGATGGCAAAATAATCCTAACAGGTCTTGTAATAAATACTGTTCAGGGTTCATGTTGTTATGGGTATTTGAGTTACTCTGTGAGGGAGAGCTGACTGAAGTAACAAAATTTGCCATAGAACTTTTTCCCCTGAGGAAAATTCAGTTCTGGAGTTTAAAGTTGTTGGAAGGGTGGGGTGTTTTTTTTGGTCATCAAAAGATGCTGTTGAATAGGGTGTCAAAAAAGTCTGTCATGTGAAAGCAGTTTCAGAATTTTTGGAAAATTACCACTGCTTGGCTAAATTAAATTTACTTCAGGACTGTGCTAAGGTCTCTGCTGAGATCAGAACTGTGCTAAGTCAAGATATATGTATTTAAGCTTTTTTAAAAAATTAATTTTGTTGGCAAAAATGTTTAATTTGAAGAAATACAAGTATTTGTTTAACAACTCAAAAAAATTGATCATGCTGTTTTTTTTTCTTCATGTTTACTTTATTTTTTTTTTTTTTACAAAATGTGCACATTTAGTTTACACAAACATGCTACAGCAGATTTCAGGTGTACATGTATTGTACTACTCTTATCCTACACTGGTGATAGCAGAGCAGCCTTCAACATGCCTCTAACATCCCATCTCTACACCAGAATAGATACCTGATTTATTTTTGCAAGAGAATGCTTGCAACATTCTTTCTACTTCATTAATCCCCTTTCTGCAGCAATGTCACAATGAAGAGTGGCCTACCTTTGATAGCATTTCACCTATTTTGAAGTATTGGCATAAACTCTGTGGACAATATATCTTAAATATTACATGGGAGGGGCAGTATATTTTAGGTACACACTTTCTTAGAAAGATCTTTCTAGGTTCAGAATTAAGGTAGCTCCAATCTTAATGAAGAAATGATCCTAAAAAAAGGTAATGCAGTTATATCACATATAGATGATGATATACAGCTGAAGTTTCCAATTTTTTCTGATTCTCTCTCCTAATTAAAGGTATTACAAAAAGCTGAAACAGGTATTAGCCTGTCTAGCAGTTAGTAGTAGGTGTTACTACATAGTGATACTCATTCTGAGCACTGAATTGGGATGGAAGTTTCAAAAGAAGTTCATGCCTTTTTCTTCATTAAAGGCAGAAAGACATGTACTCATGAAAACAGTGTTAGGCTTCAGTTAAGGTTTTGTCATGAAAAATTCAAAGTCAGAAGATCCTTAATTTTAAGCAAAGAACTTTGCGGACATGTCCAAGAAGAATTAGAAATACAGTATGTAGGACTCCTGATGCTCATGTCATGACAAATTAAATGCAGATTTGCTAGGTAAGTGTGATTGATAGAAGCTTACTCAGATTTGTTAGGGAGTAAAGCTACCTATAAGTAATTTTTTTTTTTTTTTTCTATAACAGTTCTTCCTCTCACATTATCTATTTTGTTAGGTTTGGAGGTTGGGGTTTGTTTTTTTTTTTGAAGAGAAAAGCAAGTCAAAGGTGGAAGGCAATTACAGCAAGATGTGCATTGCACATTTATTATAGCACTTTAACTCAAAGTATTATTAAAAAATGAGGACTACACCATATAAATGTGAAAAGAAAATACATGGTAATGCCTCTGTATAAATTAGTAGCTAAGATTTAAGAAATACACTCAAACACCTGGAGCTTAATCCAGTACAAATGAGTAGCAAAAGTAAGAGTATTTATTTAATCTCCTTGTGATAGTATCTATTTTATTTATGGGCTGGAATGATTATAAAGCTGTATAATGTCAGTTCTTATTTTGTTTGGGTTTGGAGTGAAAACCTGACTTTTCAGGACAATCTTGTTAACTAAGTAGCCACTGCTGAAGTGCTAAATTGTATAATCTAGAAAGTTTTTTTTGGGGAAAAGTTTTAATAAAAAAAATTATTTGCATAATACATGTCTCAGTGTAAAGCTGAGTAATTTTATTTATGATAAAGTGGGAAATCCATGTTTTAGATAATGTTGCAGAATAGCTCATATTTGTCCATTAGTTGTAGACCTAATGTCTTCATTAAATCACATTTTCAAAGAGCTGCATGGATCGCATTATATTCTCATCCTGTAAAAAAGACAACAAAAAAACAGAAATCATACACCATTACAAATGTAGCTGGCAAATATCTATAGTGAAATTGGGTAGAACTAACTGTATTTTAGTTAATGAGAACATTATTTTTCAGCTTGTTTGGAGAAATTAGCAGAAAAAGGCTGTTAATGGGTCTATGCTTAAATAGTTTTTTGTATATATTAATTAAACCAAAACTATGCTGTCAAGAATGCAATAGCATGTTAAGAAAATTCAGTCTGCAGCATTTCAGAAGTTGTAGGTTTATATCCAATATAACAAAATACATATAGACAATACTCAAGGAATAATTGTTGTATCCAAAGTGTGAATCTGTACATGAAATTGCTAGTCCTGCTTATCATGCACAGGAGCATTTTTGCAATCCTAGGGCATCGTGTTGCATAGCTAGGGATGACTCTAAAATAAAATAGATTTAAGTGTGCATCTTTGTATGAACTGAAGAATCAGTCAATTCCGCAAGTATCACAGCAACACTCTTTGGTAACATTTACCTTTCAGTGTGTAGAAGAAAAAGTTTACTTGTAGTAGCCCATATTTGGTGGCACTTCTGGATCAACAGTTGGTTGCACAACACAATATATACACAATACAAGAGTATATTACATGCTCATTTAGCATCTGCTGGTCTCCACTGTAATGATCCTCTTTTTTAATCTGAATGCACATCATTTAGTACTTTCTTGAGAGGTAATCTAGCCACCTTTAATTCTAGTGAATAAAAAGACTGAATTTATTAGAATATTTTAGGAAGTTTCAACAGAGGCATAAAAACCCCACTTCTTAGAAAGGTTATCTCATAGTATTCTCCACTACTGATAGGTATGTAGGCCTTCATTTATTGTTCCAATAATACATATCAATTTCCAGTTAAATTATTCACTCTTCAGTATAGTGGGTGATTTGCTTCGTAGAAAATTACAAATCTGAATAATTTTCGTAATTTGTGTTATGAAACATGCACAGTGGTGTTTTAATCTTTGATTCCATGTCATCTCAAGTAAGAAGTGATCTGCGCACTATTTTGTGCTGATAAACTAACTTATGAAAGCAATGATACGTAATTTCAAGAAATGTGCTATGTAAGTTAATGCTTAGAAAGTTTGTATAGGAAATTTACTATATTAAATTACTGAAAATTAAAATAAACTAACTTTTTCCCACTGCATTGTTTTGAAACATCAGTATAACATTGAAGATCACTGACTAATGTAAGGTTAAAGTTTGGTTTAACTGGAATCACTTGACATCTAATTATTTATAAATGCTTTTGTATATACATTGGCAACTAAGCTCAGCAAATGTACAAAGCAAACAACATGTTCTTAATTTAGAAACAGTGTTTTGACACTTCCTACCAATTTTCTAATATATGTATCATCACTAAGGAAACTAGTATTTTTCTAAAATCAGCTCTGTATTTCTGAAATTTGCTGTTTCTATACAGAAGACTTCCAAATGTCCCTCCTTTAGTCAGTCAAATGGGAAGAATCTTCACAAGAAAGTATAGCTTTGTCATAATATTTGGAACAGGGTGACTGTTCGTAGCCTTTTTTCCCCATCTTCAAAAAAAAAAAAAAAAAAAGCAGATGCCTTAGACTTCTTTGGCAAGCACATCTTTCTCATTTGCCTCTTTTTTCAGTACATTTTTCTAAACAGTTTTTCATAATAATTTGTTTAATGATTCCTAGTACAAGGCATTAGGAGGTATTAGTGCATATGAAGCATAGTCCGTATGAAGCACAAAACATGGATGAATGAGCTTTGCCAGATCTGAGCTAACTTCAAGCCAACTTTGAGGTTCTTTTCCTACTGAAGTTTGAGCCTGCTACTTTGTTTTCAAGCTAGCCCAACCCATCAGCGTTGTGTATGGAATGGCTTACTCCTGCAGAAAATAGCTATCCCAGAAGCCTTTTTATCATTATCAGAAGGAGCTTTAAGTCATTCACCCTGGCATTCACCTGTGCACACCTTGGTCCTTTGCCTCTGTTCTTCATGGTGCAGCTGTAGGTATGAAGTAGTGCCCGAGTCAGACCATTTTCCACCAGCACCAAGCAGTGAAAGGAGGCAGGTGAGGAACTGGGTAGCGCCTAGCCCTTGCTGTTTCCCGAGACCTATCTCTGCTATTTGGTAGGGTCAGCCAGCAGCCACTTTCTGGGACTCAGTCCAGCATACCTAGGGCAGGCTAGTCCATTTCTGCTGTGGGAGCAGGGAGACTCCTGGAGTCTGGATGGCAGACTGGTATTCAAGCACATGGGTAGGTGGGGTAGGGAGGGCAGCGGAATCAGGTCATACACATGCCCTGTCCAAGACCAAGGGAGGATGAGGGGAGGATGCCCTCACTTAATCATGGCAAAGATAGGTCCTTATACCCACTGACCAGAGAAGACCACGCTCAGAGCCTGAATGCTCTGTAATTCCCTATGTAACTGCTTAACACTCCGCGAATGGACAGGCCATTCTTTGCATTGGGACTGTGAATTAAGTCTTGACCATGCTGTATACCCCAGGCTGTACAGTGTTACTGCATCGGTAGTTGTGCCAAACCACTACTCAGCACAAGGAGGTGATTTTTAAAAGGCACATACGTGTAGAATGAGTGTTTAAGAACACACCAGAGGCTCTTGATACTACAAAAAAAATCTCAGGCCCCTATCCCAGGAACCTGAAGTGGAGTATCTGTATTCAAATGTACTCTGCTATCTTTCCTTTTGCTCTTAAAGTAAGCATGCCATGCTTTCCTTAGTTATGACAAAACACCAGTAAAAGGGATACACTAGTAAGACCCACTAATTTGTCTTCCAACTCAAAATAGAGGAATGGCAGTTCTCAGAGGCTGGCAACTCTTGCCTAAGAGATCATTCAAAGAAAAGGCTCATGCAGCCTTTCCCTGGCAGAACAGGCCTCTAGTCTGTTTTAAGATGCAGACTGGAGGGGATCTAAGCTTTTAGTTTGCTTGAGGGTTTTTTTGTAGTGCTTCTCTCTTGGCACTGTTTTGACTCTAATCTCGCAGCTTGAGCTGGAAAACATATCCTCTGTATACCTTTAACATGTTTTCAGGTGCACCAGTTGCTGGCTGCTATGTTCATCAATGGGCATTCCCATTCCAAGGTCTGAGGTGCAGTCATTTGTTATGCAAACCGGCAGGGAAGGTTTTGAGCAGAGGTGCTGTAACATCAGCCTTAATACCAAAGGAGGGTTTGTAGATGAGGAAGCCACCATAGCTGCTAAAGCCTAGGGAGCAGCAGGTGTGCTGCGCTCCTGTCCTGAATGTCCTGATCCTGGTAAACCAAAGGTAATAGTAAAACTAGCATTGGTCTAGAGGGAGGGGCGAGGGTGATTAAAGGTGTGGACTGGCTTCCCTCAGAGGAAAAACTGAATAAATGAGTACTTTACAGCTTGGAAGAGAGACAATGAAGGTCAATAACAATAACCACTGTTTTTCCATAACACAAGAACATATGGAAAACGTAAAAATATTGCATGGCAGGTCTAAAGCACAGGCAGATTTATTACAGGAAGGATCACAGATTCATTAAATTTTACTTTTGGCATTGTTAAATGCTCATGAAAGATGAGACTCTTTGCTACTGGAGTGACGAAGCTCACTGCATGCTGTGGAAAGAAAGGAGCCTGAACCTTACCTTTTTCAATCAGTGTCATACCCATTAGGATGTTAAAAAAAGGTTTTCCTACAGCTGTGTCTTAAGAGGAAGCAGCCACTACTGTCCTTTGTGAAAAATGTAATCCCGAAAAGGCTGAAGCCACATTAACTCCTGAATCAAGTTTCTTGAAGGACTTGGATTGAATCCTGACCCCAAATCTCATTTCTGAAACCAAATCTTGATAAAAACATTAATTACACACTTTGCAGCTCAGAGGTCTTAGTAGAGTAACAGGTCTTAGTAGGTAAAGAGACAAAAAATTAGGCAGCGAGATACTTTTTGTATCAAAAAACACTGCCATCCTTGAAGTTAAAAGCAAGTAAAGGTGAGGTAAGTGGCAAGATGAGAATGGGGTCTCTGTCATGTAGCGGTTTAGAGAGCATCTCTCTCACATGTATTCTGAATACTCAGAAGAGATAAATAAGTTTTCTAACAGAACTGAGAAACTGTGAATCACATTGGAAAAGGAGAGAAGTCAATTCCTTACTGAAGGTACTAATTTCTTTGTAAATTAATCACTCAGCCCATCACCATAAAGGCTGTTATATCCAGATTAATCTTTCATTTAATTTCCAGAACTCTGCAGACCTCAGCTGGGAAATAAATCTCACCTCTCTTTCTGATGATCATTCAGCTTTAGCAGAGCAAATGCCTTTCATTGGTACTGAACAAGATTGACAAGCTAGAACTATGGTCAATGCAGTAGAGCATTCCTGACAGATCAGACACTGTTCAGTACCCATTGCTAAGGATATACAGAACAACCACAGTTAGAATAGCTCTTGTCTGTCTTTCATCCCCCAAAAGCAGTGGATTAAAATCAATCAGAGAATCACTTACTAGATAGCTGTGCTCATGAGAGCAATCCCAAAGAATAACTACAAACGCATATCAAAATCTACCAACTTTAGAGCATCTTTGCTATTTCCTGACCAGCTTTCCCTATTCCAAATGGTTATAAATCTATCACTCACTAACCACATTTATCTTGCTATCTCCTGTCTCTTGTCTACTACTGTCTTCTTGGTATAAGAAGCAATAACACAGGCTGTATTGCTGGTCTGTGTTGGCTTCATATTAATCAGAGTCAGCCTGGACAAGGCTGAAGTATCAGCAGAACACTACTATGATTCCATATATTTTGCACTGTAACAAATAGCGTTGCTTTTATTTGCCATATCATTTTGCATAATGTAATCAAGCCTACCTTATCACTAAGCCTAATGTGACACTCTACAGTACATAACAACCTCTTATCATACCAAAGACTTGTCATCATTATTTTGTACTATATCATGTTTCTTTTTCTTGCGTTCTTTAACTGACAAATTAACAGCAGTTCCTGAAATTTCTGAAAAAAACAACTTATCTTTCCTCATGTTGTCTCCTGGTCTGAGAGCAAGCCAGTTTCTGAAGGGCAAAGGAGTGAAAACAGGCTGTAATTCCTGC